GATTTCTTGAAAAAAAATTTTTTAGCCAGTTCAGGCCTTATGAATCCAGTCTAATGCTTCAAGTGCCACATTTTGTTTTTCCATGGGGTAAAAAAGCCAAACACAACTTTCAGTTTTTACTCACATTTATCAGAAAATTTTATAAATGTATACTTCTCAATAGATATGATTCCAAAATGACAGAACTCTTGTCTTTATGGGAAAAAAAGAAATAAAAAAAGAAATAAACATAAAAGAGTGTCCTGCTAAAAGATATGTAAGTTATAAAGTGACACCACCAACTGGAACATGTTCACTCATAAAAGGAAAACACCTATGCTGAGTAAGGTAATTTAGCTATTACCTTACTGTTGAGTAAATATCTAAATTACCTTACTCGGGTGAGAGGAAGAAACATCTAGAAGTGAGCTTTTGTAATTTTGTGGTCATTAGTAGATAAACATCAACTGCCCTCAGCAAGGTTGGTCTAATTGTAGAACATTGAGAGAACAATGGGTTTTGAACTGGTCAGAAGATATGCATTCTTTTAGTGTGTCCTGTGTGTCACACTACAGGCTGAATATCCTTCATCCCAAATGCTTGGGACCAGAAGTGCTTTGGATCTCAGAACTTTTCAGATTTTGGTATATTTCCATTATATTTACTGGCCGAACATCCCTCACCCAAAATGTAAATACGAAATGTTTCAATAAGCATTTCCGTTGAGCATCTTGTCAGCTTCCTAAATGTTTTAGAGTTGGGAGCATTTTCGAGTTCTAATTTTCAGATTACAGACATTTCACCTGAAGACTTAGAGACCTTGACCAGGATGGAGTTCTGGCACTTGTCCTCCAAACTCTCCCTTGCTCCGTTCACACACACACACACACACACACACACACACACACACACACACACACACCACTCCCTTCTACAGACATACAACTTATTTATGTTAATATACTGGTAATAGGTAGAAACATCTTGTCAAAGTTGCTCTTTCTGGTCGGATGCAGTGACTCAAGCCTGTAATTCCAGCACTTTGGGAGGCTGAGGTGAGAGGATTGCTTGAGCCCAGGGGTTTGAGGCCAGCCCAGGCAACTTGGTGAGAACTCATCACTACAACATATCAAAAAAAAAAAAAAAAAAGCAGGGTGTGGTAGTGCGCACCTGTAGTTCCGGCTAATTGGAAAGCTGAGAGGAAAGGATCACTGGAGCCCAGCAGGTTGAGGCTGAGGTGGCAGTGAGCGTGCCACTGAGTTCTCGCCTGGGTGACAGAGTGAGACTCTGACTCAAAACAAAAGAAAACAAAAACAAAGTTGCTCTTTCATTGATGGATATCTGTTTCCTACCATTTGGCAGCTCCAATGACAATCAGACATGATAGAGAAAGAAAAGTCTCTCAGTGTTTGTTCTTAGTGTAGCATCTTGACAGGAAAAAAAAAAAAAAAACCGGCAACAAATATAGCAAAATATAATAGGAACAAAAAGCAATATAGGCAATTTCCATATAGCAAATTGTGATATAAAAATATGAATATCAAAGCACTGAATGACCCTTCTTGTGACTTTTTAAATCTACTGTTGGATCTTATAGCCATGGCAAACACCGGTATAAAAAGTGGACTCATTTGTCTCTTCAAGACAGGAGTGGATTTAAAGTAAACTATTGTTTTTCAGGCTGTGTAGGTCATAATAGATTGCATCTGGCTTTCAGGATTTTCAACTCTCCCAAAAAACCTCAAACCCTCTTTGGAAGGAAGGGACTTATTGGAAGGTAAATGTGTTTCCAAAGTTTCCAACTGGAATAACCAAACATCCAGAGAAGTGGATACGAATTGAATTGTCTAGAGCTCTCTCTACCTTTTAGAAAATTTCCTCCAGTTCACAGGACCAGGAATATTCTAACAAATGTTTCATGAGTTTCATAATAAAAGAGAGTTCAGTGTAGGATATTGCCAATAGACATGATTTGTTAATAAAACACATTTAAAATTTGAAGACAGACCCTTGCCTGAAGAGATAGAGGCCCTAGTATTTCTACTCTAGTTAAAACATGCTACTCAATTTATCCTGTTCTATTCACTGCATGCCATTTTTTAGTGAATATGTGCAAAGTTCATTGAGAATATTTTTACCAATACTTGACTAGGCTTCTGTGCATGGTGTAGAAACTAGGATAACATAATTCCTGATTCAAGAATGCATAAATTTAGTAAAGAGTAGGAGAAAGACAGAATGAGGTAGAGGGGAGTGATTGGAGAAGAGTTTTTGTTTCATTTTATTTTTATTTTAAAGATGTAGGATACAATTCAGGATTAAGTAGAAAAGTAGTCATTGTACACATAGAGTCTGGACCTGCTTGGGTCCTTACTTCATCCGGTTTCAGTTCAGGTATCCTTACTGATGTTACGTGCCACCCCCCAACCCTGGCAGCGTCCCACTAGTGCCAATCCTGTTCTTATAATACTATGATTAATGTTTAAGGTCTGTTTATGGGTGAGAACATGTGGTACTCACTTCTTTGTTTCTGTGATAGATCAGTGAGTATTATAGGTTCTAAATCCATCCAAATTTCAGTACAGTCCATAATTTTGTCCTTCTTTATGGCTTCATAATACTCCACCATGTATATGTAACACATTTTTAAAAATCCAGTTCTCTTTCGATGGGCAGCACGGTTGGTTCCATGTTTTTGCTATTGTGAATAATGCTGAGATAAATATGCATGTACAGTTATCTTTTTCATAGAGTGATTTGAATTCCTACAGGTATATTCCCAGAAGAGGGATTGCTAGGTCATATGGAAAGTCAATTTTTAGATCTTTTAGGAATCGCCATACTGTTTTCCACAGAGGGTGTACTAGTTTGCACTTCCACCAACAGTGTAGAAATATTCTCATTTATCCACATTCTCACCAGCATCTGTTGTTTTTTGAGTTATTAATGATGGTCACCCTGTCTGGAGAGCAGGGAGACAGACCACAGAGTGGGAGAAAATATTTGCTACCTGTGTATCTGACAAGGCATAACATCTAGAATTTACAAGGAACTCAAAGACACCGAAAGGAATAAAACAAACAGCCCTAATTAAAAAGTGGGCAAAATATAATAGACACTTCTCGAAAGATGACATATGAGGAGAAGAAATATTTAAGTATGCATCCCACAGAGGCTGCTTACTGACAGTGATTTAAATTAATGATATACTCTGAAATGCAAGGGCCTCAAGTATAAAGGGGAGGGTAATAATTGCTACTGCAAGAGACTTCTGAGTATTAGATGTAATGTACCACAAGAGTATGGGGTAATAAGAGACATGTTATATTAAATCATACAATGCAATTGTATTAATAAAATGTCCATTTATCTACTACATAGTAAGTTTAGTTAAATTGAAATAATATGTATTATAAGATATTTATACAAAGATTGTTTTTCCTAAATATAAAAATGGTTCCAGTCAAGAAAACCAAAGTACAAAACTAGGAAAAGTGATTGGGGGGTGGGTGGGCATTCTCACCCTGTTGGAAGATAAAAAGTTTTTATGAAGAAGAGATAAATCAAAGAAAAATAATATTATTTTATTGCATAGCAGACACATTGAAGAGATGAAGACATAAAAAATATACAAGCTTGGCACAGTGGTTCATGCCTTTAATCCCAGCACTTTAAGAGGCCAAGGTGAGAGGATTGCCTGAGCCCAGGGGTTCGAGATCAGCATGGGCAACATGGGAAGACTTCGTCCCTACATAATTAAAAATATCAGCCGGGCATGGTGGCACACGCTGTAGTTTCAGCTGCTTGGGAGGCTGAAGCAGAAAGATTGCCGGAACTCAGCAGGTAGAGGCTGTAGTGACTGTGAACATGCCACTGCAGACTCGGAAAAAAAAAATTACACATACACAAACACACACACACACACACACACACACGAGAGTATAAGAGAAAATCTGTAGTAATAGTTCTGTATATAATCATGGGCAAATTGTATAACTAATTTTTTTATTTAATTATAATAGTAATAAACATATATTAGTAATAAATTCTTTCTAGAACCACAGCTTTCTCAGTAAAAAAAACAACAACAACAACAAAAAACCCCAATAAACTTGAACAAAGGCTGCTGGTTCCAGTTAAAGAAAGTAAATATAAATATAAGAGGGTGGAAACAGGTGTTTCTGCAAATGTTTTGAGACGTTAAGGAAGTAGATGGTCATTTTCTTAAGGAGAACACTATGATATGGTTCGGAATTACACAGGCGAATGTGGAACCAGGTTTAATCGAAGAAGTGGAAGATAACTAAATTGGAGTTTCTGAGAGTTACCTGGAAAGGAGGGATGAGAAATGTTAAAAAAAGAAAGAGAAAGAGACAGATAGAAATCAGCAAGATTGATGTTGAGAAGCTGGAAGCCTACAAAGGGCTATACAGACAGAGGCGACTGTCTGGTGAAAGGTTGGCATCGAAGGACTTTAAAGAACAGTTATGCCTACTAGTAAAGTCTACAAAGTACACTCAAATGCATTTATCTCTGTAGTCATGTACTGAAAGAGACCATACCACTAATTTTGGACTATATGCTTCACTATCATGGCATCTTAAAATTTTTATAAAAAGACACAAGGAATTTCTTTAGGAATTTCATAAATATCAATGGAGTAAAAAGAAAATTTAACTCTTAATATGGAATAAGGTGAAGAAAAGTGTTCTAGGAAGTCATCCAAGGATTTCTTATAAAGAGAATATGTCATAATTGACTTAATAGAACACTTCCCAATTAAAAGTTACACCATCCCCCACCTTGGGGAGGTGAATTTTCTCTTTTCTTTCTCTTTCTTTCTCTAATTTATTTCTAAATAAACTTTTCTTTCAAAAAAAAAAAGTTACACCAGCCCCTACTGAAAGATTCCTTTGTAGAAGAGAATATCTAGCATCATGCATCCTCAGAGGGAAAATTTAGATTTTAGACAGTCAAGAGATTACATTTATTGATGCTACAACAAAGCTTTCTAGTATTACTTTTAAAAATATGCAGGGGATGACTATTGTCTCTACAGTATGGTAGACCTTGGGTTTTGAGATTGGCACCTCTGCTGACTTTTCTTTGAGCTTTTTCTGGGGACTCTTTCCTGGGCTTGTTGAGGTACGCACAGCTGGGTTGTCCTGTACTGACTGAGGTGCTGAAAAAGAAAAGAAACATTGTGAAAAATGACAGCCCTCTATGTCCCACTTTGTGTTCCTCACAGCATCATCTGTGTTTGAAGTCAAAGAGGAGGAAATGCATTCTGAGTAAGGCGTTCCTGAACTAACTACTAATACCAGCTGGTAAATTCACTCTAATAAAATACATTCCATGCCAGTGGTGATTTTCAGTTTTGCGATCCAGGGATCTAACTTTATATCTTATGATCAGCATTTCTACAAATATTTTAGATAAAAATATAGAAAGAGAGCTTTCCAATGGCATCCATGATTTAAAAACAAACAAACAGTTGGGCTCGGTGGCTCAGCCTGTAATCCCGCGCCTTGGGAGGCTGAGGTGAGTGGATTGCCTGAGCCCGCAGGTTCGAGATCCACCTGGGCAACTTGGCGAGACCTCATCTCTACAATAAATCAAAAATGAGCCAGGCGTGGTAGTGCATGCCTGTAGTTCCAGCTACTTGGAAGGCTGAGGCGGAAGGATCGCCGGAGCCCAGCAGGTTGAGGCTGCGGTGGTTGGGAGCGGCCACTGCACTCCAGTGTGGGTGACAGAGTGAGACTCCAACTCAAAAAACAAACAAACAAAAAACAAACAAATAAACAAAAACTCAGAAAACAATCAAGATTTCAGATAAAATAATTAAGACATAAATCTATTTCAAAAGATGCAAAGGCTAAAGGATACATTTAATGGGAACCAGTCTTATTTAACTCTATTTAAACGTTTTTATTTATTTATTAATTTAGTTAGTTAATATTCACAATAGTAAGCATTGAGATTTTTTTTAGCGAGCTTTTGTTCTGTCTTTCAGGATCTCTTTCTCCTATAAATTCATATGGGATGTGGAGGAAGAATATTTAATATATGAACTAGAATTAATATGAAATGCAATGATAAGTGCTAAAATCAAGGTGCACATAAGATAGAGTCATAGCACTAAACGTCAATTGCACAAACACGTGGAGAAGAGTTTTCCTAGTGATTTATGTGAGAAAATCCATGACTCTTGGTCTTGATTACAAGTTCAACATCATCCAATAATGTGATGCACTTGTTAAAGAAAAAACGGATGTATTTTGTAAAATCAGAAATAATTATTCAACATCTTTGGGAAATTCCTTGGAAGAGGAATTTGAGAGGATATTATATAATCAAAGGTAAAGCAAGGCATCATGAAGTGAGTTGACCATGGAGAAGATAGGAGGTTATTAGGATAAATATGTTGTGCAAAACTATATAAGTAATCATTAGGTGAAAGAAATGTTCTGTTTCTGTGCAAAGAAGTCTGAGAACTAAGAAAAAAACAAGTGGAAATATTAGGATAATTTTTGAGTTAGGTTTCTCAATAAGCAATTGGGAGGGTATTTGGTAATATTGTGAGTGTCTCATCACCTGAAATACTTAAGAAAACATTCAGGAAATAATCACCTTTGCATTCTTGGTGCACTAAATTAATATCTAAATTTGGTCAAAAGTTTGCTTTCTGGACTTCCAAATTTCTTTCAAATATAAGGTCCTTTTATTTTAAGAGAAAAGGATTAATTCTGGATACAATTATTTTAGAATCAAGGGTACAAGATTGTTTTAAGATTAGTAAACACTGATTATTTGGTAAGCAAGGAGGTAGACTCACAGATATAAACTCTGCAAACAAAAAACCCAGTTCATGTTGACCATGTTGGAAATCAATGGACTCAATAAATTTGAAACCAAAACTTTCACTGTAGAACATTGAAATATGTTTCAGTTCTTTGCTGCTGTCTGGGAAATAGCTATTTCTTGTACTGTCTCCCACACATATAGAAGGGAAAGCTTTGTGCTTAACTATTTGTTGCACTCCCAGTGTCTACACTGAGACCCAATGAGACACTCTTCTCTTTTTCCTGAGCATATACATATCCTGTGTTGCCAATGACTTTGGCAATTATGCATGACCATATGAATGGGTTCTAGCTAATTGATGGAAGCACAATATAGGGTGGCACATCTAGGCTGGGCCTAGAAAAATCTCCTACAAATGATCCCCCATAGTCTTTCAAATGACGCTAACTGAATGGTTATAATCAAGTTATTTTAGCATCATGTGCTGCAGATATCAAAGGCAAAGGATGGAAGATGTTTAGATGTCTGAGTTAGCACTTGGAGAAGAGGTGACTACTTATCCAGGATGGCCATTTGGAATTTTCATGAATAAGGCACACATTTCTATCACGTCTGACTTAGTCAAATTATCCCATGTTTTCTTAACCTATCCCTGCATTTTTGGATTGTTTGAATTTGATATTTTAAGATACATATCCAGTCATGATTCATGCATTAATTAAAACCCAGTGACGGCAGGAGCATTGGTTGTCTCATGCATTATTCTCTATCCAAAACATAGAACAGGGATGTGATAAATATTTTTCTTTTGTAAAAATCTATTTATTTATTGTAGAGATGTAGGGTACAAGTGAGGATTTACAACATATCCAGGCTGCATTCAGGTGAAGTTTGAGATTCTAGCTGGCCCTCACGACCCCGGTAGTGGACCAGGTACCCATTGTGTAGTCATATACCACCTACCCTCATCTCTTCCTCTCTCGCCTAACAGTGCCCAGATCTGATGATCACCCCCTGGTGCTAATCTGACTAGTGTCCAGGGCCCACTTATGGGTGAGAATATGTAGTAGTTAGTTCTTTTTTTCTGTGGTAAACAAATGTAGTGAGAGATAGATTACTTAATATGATGGTCTCCCATTGCATCCAAGTTGCTGCAAATACCATGATTTTGTTCTTCTTCATGGCAAGACCTCAATTCTTACAATAAATCAAAAAATTATCCAGGCGTGATAGTGAGCACCTGTTGTTCCAGCTACTTGGAAGGTTGAGGTGGAAGGATCACCGGAGCCCAACAGGTCGACGCTAGGGTGGCCATGAACGTACCACCACTACACTCCAGCCTGGGCAACAGTGAGACTTCATCTCAAAAAAAAAAGAGGCATGTACAGTCCTACTAGGGTGTTCAGCGGCACTTCTCCACGCAGAATCAGATGAGAAACATGGAGAAAAGGGCTTCAACTTGCTACTTTGACAAAGGGCAGCCAGTCTGGGAATCCATAAAACCTTTACTCAAAGTGTTAAATTGAGTCAACAAAAACCAAAATCAACCATTAATGTTTAAATGCTGTGTGGTGCATTCTTTTATACTTAGAACAGTTTTGACTGTAGAGTATAACATTTAAAATAAAAGAACAATTTCAAGCAATGTGTGTGTAGGTGTTTGGGGCTGAGAATCTGTTCTCACAAGCACAATAAGATAATACAAAATATAGCTGGTGATGATGGTGCGCGCCTATAGTTCCAGTTACTAGAAAGGCTGAAGCAGAAGGATTGCCTGAGCCCATCAAGTCGAGGCTGCAGAGTCCATGAGTATACCCCTGCACTCCAGCTTGGGCAACAGACTCTGACTCAAAAAAAAAAAAAAGAGAAAGAATGCAAAATATTTTGACAGCACACAAAATTTATCTCAGATCATTGCTGCATACAGCCTATCTTGATTTTCTAGAATCTTTCAAAAGTAGCATCAGGACCACAACTCCCTGGCTGCCACTAAAACATACATGCATGGGGTTGAAGAGCAGAATTAAATGAAGTCCTTTTCCACATGGATCTTGTGAATTGCATCTTTCTCCAGGTTCTTAGGGGACTGTGAAGAACTGCCAGCCAAAGTTGCTGGAGAGTCCTTGACAAAAACATGACCCGAGTTTTCTGAAGAGACATAGACATTCTACACACTACCGTGGCATCTCTCATTATTACAGTCTCAATGGCCCACTTTATTCCTCTTGAATGTTCACTATAGCTAGTTTCATATACACACATATGCATATACACACATCACTTTGTCTTTTCTCTGGTGTCATTGAACAATGCGCTAATTAATAGTGAAATCATCATGTTGTTACAATTATTCAGAAAAATTATTTCTGCTTTCTATTTTTTTTTTAAACATAGCTCTCAAATCCATGACACAATTGGAATTCAGGAAAATAAAATGTTTGACTGCAAGTCGCCCAAGTCCTCCTGATCTACCTACTCATTTTACCTTTAATAATTATTAGGAAAGAGAGTGCTGTGACTACACTATGGTTCACCTTTCAGTTGCAACTCTCCTCAAAATGAATCATTTCAAAATGTCTGTAAGGAACTTGCAAACCCAGCTAACCTTAAAAAATGATTCAAGTCTGAGGTTTGAATATTTCTGTTTAAGTTGATTTAGAAATTCTGATATCTCCTTTTACCTTGAAAAAAATCTGTATAAATACGTATATATATATACATATACATATATATATATATATATATATATTTTTTTTTTTTTTTTTTTTTTTTTTGAGTCAGAGACTCACTCCGTTGCCCAGGCTGAAGAGTAGTGACACAATCACAGCCACCCCAGTGTCAACCCCCTGGGCTCCAGCAAACCTTCCGCCTCAGCCTTCCAAGTAGCCAGAACTATAGGCATATGCTACTACACCTGGCTAAATTTTTTATTTATTGTATAGAAGAGATCTCACCATGTTGTCCAGACTGGTCTTGAACTCGAGGGCTCAGACAATCCACTCACCTAGGCCTCCAAAAGTGCTGGGATTACAGGCTAAGCCACCGAGCCCAACCTGAGTATTTCTTAGCAGACCAGACGCTATCTCATAATACCCGTTTCCTCTTAATTCAATATTGTTTATTAGCTCTAGATGGAGGCTGAGAGTGTTTTCCTAAGATATAAATCACACATCACTATCCTCTACAAACACTTTCATAAATTTTGGAATTCCGTCTTAAAACTTACCATCTCTAAAGGCCTGGACAATGATGACCTTGGGTTTGTCCATTAGACTATGGCAGTTGCGATTGCTGAATATCTCAAAGATGGTGTCATAAGGCAGCTCATCTGATTTCTCCTCCTGTGCATCGTTCTGCAGATTCCACCCAGGATGCCATGAGACATGAGCACCAAGAATGTGCTGTCTGAGCAATTGTGCTCTGGTTTGGCTGCAAATTTCTGCAACTCTGTCTCTATACCCTGAAAAAGCCCCATGTTGCTTCAATACAACAAGCATTACAATTCATCTGACCTCCTAGATTTACAAGGAGCAATGCAAGAAACAGAAGTAACATCTGGGTCATGCTGCCTTCCCGCACTGGCTACTCAAGGATGATAGCTTTTCTTCCTTAACAGATAGTGGGTTTCTCCCTTCTCTTCCTGCTGGCATATATAAACTGTCTCCTTGATATTGTCTTTTTATGAATGTCATTCACTATATTTCTCCATTTCATCTATATCTTTTCTGTCCTAACAAGAGCCATGTGTTATAAATGCATGAAGCCACTTCTGAAACCCACCCCTCTGTGCTTAGAGTAAAAGCCCATTTGTGGTTCAACTGTCTCACCCTTCTCTCTGCTCCATTCTCCTTTAAACTCTAGTCACGCTCCTTATCTCTCTGTGCCTCTCACATGCCTGTTCCATTTCAGGCTAGCTCTTTCCGGTATAGCTCTCCTTGCTTGAAAGGCACTGCACTCACATTTGTCTGAGCCATGTCCCTCAGGTAGTCCTGTGTATCTACACACGGAGGCTTATCCAGGTCTTGCCATCAAACCCAGCTCCCCACTTCCAATTCACTCCCATGTTTTCGACATCCTTTTCTTTCTCCTTACTTTTGACTTTCTTATCACCCTTAGTAGAAATACTCGACCTGTGAAATTGTGTTTTGTTTACATTTTGACTTTTCCTCTCCTCTCTAACCTAGATCAGTGCCAGGTGGGAAACTCCTGTTTCATTCACGCACGTATCCCCATTGCCAGGAAGTGCTCCAGGCTCCAGGCTTCGATATTTGTTTTGCTTAACGTTCATTGCTCTAGAATTTTCTGGAGAAACTTAGGGCTGATTCTTTTTTATTTTTTTGAGTTGGAGTCTCACTCTGTCACCCAGACTGGAGTGCAGTGGCCGCTCCCGGCCACCTCAGCCTCGACCCGCTGGGCTCCGGTGATCCTTCCGCCTCAGCCTTCCAAGTAGCTGTAGAAGTTTCCATTTTACATCCATAGATTAGTCCAGGGCTTTAAACAGCCCCTGCATCTCTGTGATGTCAAACTCAGCTCCATTCCTTAGAGGAAGATGGTCAAACTCTATATTGCTTATCATGAGAGCCTGGTGACTGCAATAATTTTTCTCCTTTATCGGATAGATCTGGAGAAGATGGATATGCTGTGTATTGGATTTACCTGATTCTCTTTTGAATCCCCAAATACCCATCAATGTTCTTCATGAAGGTCTCCTGCGGCTGCTCCTTCCCCTGCCTCTACCAGAAGACACTGCCTTTTTCTCTCTCAAGAGCTCAGACCAATAACCAGCTCATACCTGGAGCTGTTATTCAAAGATACCGAAGAACTAGAATAATTCCTCCATACTCTTTCTACACTTTCTTCTCCACCTACTCAAATTTCTCTTAGCATTCAAACTACAGATTAAATTTCATAAAATCCTAGAGACATATGTCATTGGCTTTAGTATAGATTAATACAAAAAAGTGCATTTGCCTTTGGTAGCATTTTTATTTTTTGACAGATTGACTTATGATGTTTTGCAAGCTTCATTTATATATTAAGATATGCTTCATGTCTAGGGTTTATATCTAGAGTAAAATTCCCACTCAGTCATGTTATCTTATAAATATTTTGCTTCTGTGGCTACAGCTGAAGTTGTCACATATTTCTAACAGATATGAGATTAAATCAAAGAACAGATTGAGAAATCTGCATTTATTATGGGTTTAAAAAGAAATTGTAACCTGTGTAAAATTATATGATCTCTTCTTTGCTCCAAAACCTCTATGAAAAAAGTTACCACCATCCTTACTCCAATTCACAAAATTAAATACTTAGTGAAAGCAATTTTTTCTGTATTGTATGTATAGAGCAGAGCTCCTCTCCAGTTTATTCTCTACACAGTCTCAGGAATTCTTCACCAGGACAATGCTTGAGAGTATCTGTAGATTCCTTTGGCTCAGCTCCTTCAGTCTGGATTTCCAGGGGATCTACAGGATATGTCACATAATAAAAACTGTGATTTCTGCCTCTGTGAATCAATTTGTATCCCAATAAGATTGAGAGACAAAAATTCTGGTTAAAGACTTTTTCCACTGTAGGGGTTGTAGTTGAATCTAACCTGTAGTATCAGGAGATGGATTATTACTGGGAAAGAAGAAAAACGTTCCTGATAGGGAATCAGACCAACTCCCTGTAAACCCAACAAACAAACCAAACATGGTAATACATTTTCATAATTCTTGACAAAATACCTCAGTCACATGGGGCTAAAATTAGTCTTTCCATATTTAGAAAAAATAGGTTTTTTTATAGTGGTTTTATTATAGAGTACTCATTAATTCATGAGATCTTTCTATTGTGTGTGAGTGAGAATATATTGAGTAAATATTTGTCAGAGTGCTATCTATCAGAAATATTTATGAGACCTTTGTGCCATATTAAGTTTTCTAATAAAACTAGGGTGAAATTAATTTTAATCATATGTTTTATTATGCATAATATATACAAAACAGGATTAGCCACAGGTCAAGTACTTGATAGCTTATGGTGACTTGTGGCTAGCATATTGGATGGGACAACATCTAATTTTAGAGTGATTGTCCCCTTCTAACACATACAATATATGCAGATACATACACACACCAATCACTTAACAGTATCTTGAATTCTGTACCATCCAGGTATTATTTTTACAACCTTACCCCGAATCTTAACCTTTGAGAATGGGCTTCAATTATCCCTCACCAATTGTACAGTCAGCGATTTAATGGAGAAGTGCTGTCTGGTAACAATAGTGCTGCGTCCAAGGTCAAAGGGACAATTTTGTTTTTGTCAGAGATTCTGATGTAAGTCTGGATCTCTTGCCTCCAAAATACTGAACAACCAATACTAAGTTTCAATTCATGTTTTATAATGTGAGGAAATAATTCATCTATTTGGATAAATTTGTTTCAGTTAATTCTGACTATTCCCTAGAGAAATATCTAACAGTGCTTGAAGTCTTTTGTCTGAAATTGTGCAAGAGATTGGGAAATTCCATAGCACTCCCATGGAGGAGAAAGAAAAAAAATTATAAACAGAAATGAGAAGAGAAGTTCACCAATATCAAATACAACGAGGCTCTTTTCCATGAATGGAATGGACAATTATGTATTTTTTTCTGTTCAGTTACATGAGCCATTGAAAACATTACTGATTTATTTTATTTTAGTTAGAAAAGTAGTATTATTCAGTTTTTATATTTTACATTTTTTTCCATTCCAATCATTTGTATCCATTAGTTTTTCAAATAATATTTTAAGTTAAATGTCTTTTTTAAAAGTATGATTTTAAAAAAACAAACAAACCTATGTTTGGGAGATGCAGCAAGTTGTAAGAGTGTGTACGGATTCCAAGCCTTCTTTCTTTTCTAGATTAAACAGGGGTACATGCTATATCTTCCCATTTCAGAACTTACAAGTTATGTTTTCTCATCCAAAGTTTTCTGTTTCCAGTTAATTAATAGGTTTGGAGAACTGGCTAATTTAACAATCATCTCCTAATCACAGTTAAATAGTGTTTTCAAGTAAAATTAAAAGTTAGACAGAATTTCTATCTTACAAGCAATGGTAAAATTAACATAAAATAGATCATTTGTTTATTAAATAGTAAATATAATAGTAATCTTTTTTGGCAGGTAGAGATTTGAGTGTTTATCTCTCGAAGAAATAGTACTTGGCACACAGTGAGTTACAGACCGTTTTGTTAAATGAAACAAGCCAACAAACCAATAGCTTGTATTCTTTCTGTTCTCCACTCTGTACCCTCGATATTATGCAAGAAAACCTCAGAATTATATCCATATCAAGGTCCTATACCTCTTCTTACAGCCCAGCTCACTCAGCTACCTGGACTGCTGGACCAGTACACCCAAAGTGTCCTGGGACCATCTGGAGACCTCAGATGCAGATAGAGCCTAGGGGGCCACTGAATTCCTCTTGAGAAGGTTTACATCTGCCTCCTTCCTTTGCTAATTACAGAGGTTATTTCAGTTATCGTTTACTGCTCATTTGATTTCTAGGTTTGCTAAAATCATGTTTAAATCCCTGTTGTTTCAATTCTGACTCACATTTGCTGCATCATCATTGATTTTCAAAGATCAAAATTGTTCCTATGCCATCCTAGGCTTGAGGAAAGGAAAAATTTTGCAAAAGGATCAGTTTCAATATTCAAAAGATGCTGGGCTTGGTGGCTCAGCCTGTCATCCCAGCACTTTGGGAGGCCGAGGCGAGGGATTACCTGAGCCCACGGGTTTGAGACCAGCCTGGGCAACTTGGCGAGACCTCATCTCTACAATAAATCAAAATTACCCAGGCATCATGATAGTGCACACCTGTAGTTTTGGCTACTAGGAAGGCTGAGGCTGAAGGATCACTGGAGCTCAGCAGGTCAACACTGGGGTTACGGTGACTGTGTCACTGCACCCTAGCCTGGGAGATGGAGTGAGATTCTAACTTTAAAAAAATAATAATACATATATATATAAATGAGAATGCAGGCAGGATACAATGTGCCTCCTGTGGTGGGAACATTTCTTATCCATAGAAAAGGGCTTGTTGAAAAAGACTTCATTCATGCTGTCATTCATTATCATGCACCATTACTGGTACTCTTAACACTTCAGGGCCGAAGATTTTAATTTAAACTCTATGGCAAATTGAGTCTGTCTCTGATGAGGTTGGGTGTGTGAACATTTAGACTCTAATAATGCTAAATTTAATCTGAGTCACAAGTTTTGCAAGGTTATAAAATTTTGTAAATTTTATAGAAGTTCTCCTGAGCATACTACTGTAACTCACAATAATGGTAATTACCAGAAAAACCTAAAACTTATTCACATAATAATTATGATAACTAATATTTATTGCAAGTTTATCATTTGTTTTTCCATGCTACATTAAGTAGGTAACTGGTATGTGTCAGACACTCCATTAATTACTGCTATTTGTTGGTGACGATACCAATTATATTCTGGTGT